AATAATTCTACATCTAATTAACCCGCCTTAATTAATTAGCGACAATTAATATCGTTAATTATTACAATATCATTGAAGTCAGCGTCGATTCCTCATTGTTGCCCAACCCCCCCACCACCCCCCCTCTCTCTCTGCTGTACCAGCCCAGACAGACAGACATCCACCTAACACACAACCGCTGACAAAACATGTCCGAGCCGCGATCCGCCGCTTCCTGCCTCTAAACAGCCCGTTATCCACTCGGTCTAATAATTAAAAACCCTCCGCAGTATTTTTTTCCAATGGAGAAAATTATGCACAATAGACAGGAGGCAGGCTGAACGGCTGGGATGGGAGGAGGAGGAGGAACGGAGAGCCGAATGAGCCAAGCAGGAAGAGAAAAAGAGAGAGAGCGAAAAAACACACACACACACACACAGGCAGGCAGAAAGACGCTGTCAATAATGGCTTAAACGAGTAGATGTACATCCCGGTGAATCTACACTTCATGCGACCTCGTCTCGGATGTCCATGTGTCTGTCTGTGCGTGCGAGGAGAGGTAAAAAACACACCCCCTTACAAAATATATCTAGCGGGTTAAATAGGCCATAGGTCATTATTTCTGTATTAATCCTACAATAAAAACTTCTAGAATAGCCACAAAACACCAACAGCGTGGATGCACGCTTTCAGCAGACTGGCAAAGAGATAAATATGTGCGCGATGATTAATTCTCTCCACGCCCCCATGCGTAAACGGCGCTTTCAGGCGAGCCCTGTTTGTTTACATGACAATTAGCACTTCAATTAATAGAGCGATTATAAGATATCAGCTCAACGTTACCTCGCATCTTCACATAAACTGATCCTCCATCCGAGTTTGCGCCACAATCCCCCCCTCCCAAAGAAAAGAAAAAAAAGAAAAGCTGGCTCTCCAAAAAAAATGTCTCCACAACAGCCGGTAAAGCAGCCTCCCCCTCGAATGGGAGCAGTAACTCCAGCTTTACTGAATATACTGTTTATATTCTCCTAAAAATGTCCCTGTTTTCTAACTCGTGCCCCCTTGTGTGTTTTCAACCCATGCACTCAGATTATGGTTCTTGCAGGACAAGAGCGCCTCCATCTCTGTGTATACCGTGGCACAGGGAGTCCCTCCTCCGGATCCTGGCGATCCTACACCACAACACTCATGACGTATCAACATTTCACACACATTTTTCCAACAACTATTAAAACCTTTTGGACATGCATGGCACCGAACTCGCACACCACGGCGCACAGGGCGCTGGGAGCCGACCCCTTGGTGTCCCTGAACGGCCCCAACTCGCAGCCAGCTCGCCCTGCAAAGTCCTTTTCAGTTTTTTTCTTTGCCACCTGATTTAAAAATTGCGGGAAATTCAATTTTTATTTTGCTCTCTAAAAACTTTTCCCTCAGTTATAGAGCTCCCTTACCAAATTTTCGTACGTCCCGGGGTGTTCCTGCCCTGTCCAGTCCAGCCTTTTGGGCAGCAGCTGGGATAGAAAAATAGTGTCGACTGTGATCATCCAGTTCATAAATGTATCGAGTGATGTTTTAAAACAGTAAATGATAAATCAGAGTCAAAGCAACATCACAAAGTACAGTGCAGAGAGAAGCATCTCTCTCGTATTGGTGACTGCTTACCTCCTTCTCCTCCACCTCCATTATCAGGGTCTGAAAATAGGATAAAAATACAAAATTACACCCCATGACAATTTCGGACATATTATAAATTATCCTAAAATGCAAAAACACCAACCTCGGCTGCTTTTTGACACGGTCCAGCTTCTAGAAATCGGGCTATTAGGAAGTACAGTTCTGGTATGGTTGGAGGGGGAGAAGAGGACGGGAGCTGCGTTAGAAGAGGGCACCGAGGAAATTGGGGGGATATTACAACAACCATGACATATTTTCCGATCTCCTTTACTCACCAGAAGTCAACTGCGCGATGTGTGTACTGTCTGAAGCCATTTTGGTGTTGTTTGCCAGGGCAGCGCCAGAGCCTGTGTGGTGGGTATAGGTGGCTGCCCTGAGCTGTCACTGTTTATCCACCAGGAAGAGACTGCCTCCATTCAGCTCCGCCGGAACTTCGTTCGAGTATTCCTCCGCGACAATTAGTGCGCATGCCACGCTTTGCCAAAACGCCGTCTTCCTCCCGCAAAGAACCGACCGCTATGATATTCCCGGGATGAGTAGCCCTCGGGGTGAATTTTAGTCGCCGTTGGTCGGCTGTGGAGGCACGTTTGCTTCAATCCCCCTCCCCCTCAAAAGAAAAAAAAGCGCAAGCCCTCTGCGGACGGATAAGAGCGCTGTAGAGGGGAGGTAAACATGGCAGCCTGCTATAGAGGAGGACACATTGCTGCAGAATGGCTGTTACTTCGTAGATAAATTACATTTACACGTTTTAATAAGTACAGGCTTATATCTGCATAGTTTAAAGTTTATTGCGGATTAATACAACGCACTTCCTGTTATATTTTCCGGTATTTATAGCTGCGGATGTAGAATATGGCTCCCGTGTTTGAGAGGGATTTACAGCCGATCTAAGCGTTTCAGCTCACTTTTATTAAATTATATAGCTAGCCGTGTTAATTCTGCGTGTTCTCGGCGGCCACGCTTGTTTTTGCTCTGTCGTTATTGTGTAACAAGATGTCTGGCTAACACACCCACTCTCTCTGGGAGCCGTTTGGTGGGGAAGACGTCCATTTCTCTTCCAAATACTGCCAGGCAGTAAAATGGGGGAAGGGTTGGAGAAGAGGGGGAATGCAGCTTAATGAATGAAACCTAGTGAGTTACAAAAATTTAATGGCAATGAGACATTTATGCAAGATAGTTCATCGAGGAAGGTTATCAAGGAAATACATGACAGCACACTTCCTGTACGGTTCACTAAAAAGTTGTGAAAAAAAAGGAACCAACATTAAGGTGTTATTTTCTCAGATTAAATAAAAATCATAGTATTAATTGTGTAAAGGATGTATTTTATATCTTTATTAAATGCATGTGTTTTGCAGCAGTTGGCCCAACTATAAGCAAGCTCCCAGTCTCTTGCTGACCTTGTGAACTGTTTACCCTTCCTTTCATTTTAAGTAAGACATCAGTGAAAGCCTACTTCATTAATGCTCACTTACACATCATATCTCCACAGTCTCTCTACATTAAGTTTACATTTATTTTAGACTATCAATTGCAAAACAAACCACCTCCAGGAAGGCCGGTGTTGTGTTTTGTTACAGCAACCCAGGGAGCCCACAACCTAAAATTCAATGTGAAGGATATTTACACACCTTAAAGGAACAGAAGAGTGTGTTTGAAAATTTAATTAGGTGTACCTTGAAATGTTATTCACACATTTTCCTCCCTATTTTATTTATTATTCACCTCAACATAAACCCTGTGTATGTGTACTGTGTAGGTGTAATCAACCTAAATAAGGAATTGTGTATAGTATCTTATTGTTGTATATAATGTACACTGTAACAAATAGTTTTTTGATCCATATCGTTATTTTTAAATGTCATAGAAACCGCTCTCTTTTTTTTATATAGCACGCTTCATGTAAATCCCTGGCAGAGATGTCAGGGAACAGACGAGTTTGTAGCTGGGGAAATGATGACGTAAAAACTTGAACAGATGACTAATTTTCATGCTGCTTTGATGTAGTTTTTCATATAACATATTGACACATTGGGTGTTTTCCTGAGGAATGTAGTTTTCATCGACGAACGCAAACTTACTCTACTCATTTAAGCAGACTCATTTAGTTCAGTTTATTTGTAAGAGCTTACAAGGTGTAAATGATTAAATGAATATGAAATATATAAATCTTATATACCACATCATGTTTAAACTGGTATTTGTTTAGTCAAGTCCACACATTTCCCCAAAACCCCGTTCGGTGTGTGAATGTAATTTGTGTTTGCTTAGGACTTAATTAATTTTGGCAACCTCAAATAAAATAATAATTTTACAGAGAATGTGCGCATCCAGGGGCTACGATCATATTTATTTAATCTGTTTTTGGTTAAAAAAAAATGTTCTTGCAGTTAGGAAAGCTTATTCTCTACTACACAAGAAAGCAATAGGTGTATTCTGCCCTTACTGAGTCCACATTTGTATGCTGTACCTCCACTGATAGGGTTCAGCTGTGTCAAATTTGTTTCTGTCATGTCAGGCTGACTTTGTCTCTTACTCCCATTGATTTGGATGGCGTATAATCACAAGTACAGCTGACTTACAAGGACTTTTACAGAATTAGAATTTAAATCCAGGCTTTATGATTATAAGAATATACTTGATTTATGACTACTTTTTTATCATACTTGCCTCTATCGCTGCAAGGCCTTCAGAGTTCAACTGCTGTACAGTGACCCTGCAGCCGTTTTAAAGTTGAGTGCCACATTAACAATGCTCTCTTTAACCACTAGACCATCCTGCAAACTGTAAAACATACTTCACAGGCTGCATGACTTTGAGGCATGGAGCAAGGTCAGGTTTGAATCTTTAGGCCTTGTCAGTCACTTCTATGTTCCCTTTCATCCTGACCCCTCTGGTGTAGTTGTTATTGTGCTGGCTGATGTGGCCACAAGGAGGCAACCTCACTCTGTAGCACTTTTTCTGCACAGGGCCACAGAGGAGTCAAAGGTTATGCATAATGAGGGAAACGTGCGCAGTTACACATTGACATTTTCTGTAACATAAATAGGAATTCTACATAACCACAACACGAGTATTTGGTAATAAAGGACACAAAAGTTCTATAACTTTTACAATTGCGTTTGTATTATTTAAAAGGAAATAAATCTACACCCTTTACCAAAGTGCTTCCTCAAACTTTTCCCTCACGTCTTGTGATTCTGTAATACACAGGAGTCGGAGATTAGATTAGAACAGTCCTTCCCTCTGTGTGAGAGATTCAGATCTGCCAGAAAAAACTCACTCATCTAGAAAGCTGATATCTCGATGTACCTGTTGCAATTTTAGTTATACTTTGTATCAACCGTGCTTGTGCTGCTGTTTTTTCACAAGCTTTGATAGATATTTATTATAGTTCATTATCATTGTATTCTTGTTGGTGGTGGCACAGAGATTTTAATAATTAATATTGCACCTGTGTAGATTTCCTCTAATTTACTACATATGTACTGGATTTGATGGTTTGGTGTATGGGTTAAAAGGCCAGATCATCCTAGTGGAGGATTTTCTACTTGGGATCAGCATTGTCACACACATTCCTCCTGCTTTTACATTCTATATTGTTGGCTGTATTAATTGGCCTCTCCAGTATCTGTGGTATTCAGACATCACTCCACACCTCCACATGTTAAAAAAAAAGGTTAACTGGGTCCATTATCATTGGTGCACTAGTGTGAATGACGGGTTGTCCCTCAATGAAGAGGCCGTATGGTTTCAACAGTCCCACCACTCTGGCAAATGCTGACCTTTCACTTCCTGACACAGCAGTTGTATTTAACACAGCCACGTGCCCTTGGCGACCTCACACAAACACACAAACACAGATACACACACAGTGTTGGCTTTGTGTTGGTTATAAAAAGTAACTCTAAATATGAACACCGTGAAAAAGAGCTCTCGAACACAAACATAACTCATACATCACACACACACATGCTTTAAACCGACCTGAGTTTTCCAAACTACAAAGACCAGCACAGGTGAAGGCATACAATTACAGTATGCTAGCGGCTATAACAAAAATATGGCATTGCTGTCCAGCTAGAGAGGATAGACATGCAATGCACAATATATAGAATTCTACACACAATGAGAGAGGAGACAGAAAAACAGAAACTCCCACATGACATCAACTTTTTCTTTTATTTCAAAATATTCTCCCAACAGGATGAAACTCAAAGAAGCCCAGAGGGTCCAAAGCCAATAGAGCCGTCTAGAACAGAAGCACCACTCATTATTGCTATGTCACTCTGCTGCAGGACAAGGCGTTCGGGAGGGGTGGGGAAAGGGGGGGACCCAAAGTTGAACTAGTTAAACACAGAGACGCCACCAAACACATTCGCGTTCAGCACACATCATTTACAAAAGGAGGCTATGTGAAACACAGTGGTGGTGATTCTAAAAACTAAGTTGTTTTCTTTTTAAAAAAGCTGCAGATGTTCTCCATTGCGACTATGAACCTGGTTTCCTGTAACTCTGCATCCAAACTTCTGATACACTTCCACAAAACCTCACCTAAACCATCAGGGGGGAAATAGTCCAATAAGAATGATCATCTTTTGTAGAGACTACAAATATAGGCAGAGCTGGTTCAGAGATCATAACAGTCGTGTTTACGGCCCCCTTCAGGCAACATGAAGAACATCTGCAGCCGTCTGATAAAAACATTTCATTCTGTCTTTCTGCTTCGGAGAGGCATATGGTGACACAATGGAGGAGTGAGGAGAATCGAGCAAAAACATACTGTAGGTAGAGGAGCTGAAAAGAGTGTGAACATATGAGTATGGGGCTGCTGGTTGTCCGTCTCTACTATCACAAGTCTAAAAAAAATTCAGCATGGTACAAAAATCGTCAGTAAAAAAAGATGCTTTGCTGCCATGGAGTCAGAGGGGACGAGTCGGTGAACGCGCCCGTGTCTTTTACGCCTTCTCCTCAGCTGCCTCCTCCGCTGCTTCAGTTACCTGGAGGGACGTAGAGGGGAAAGAGTTACACGGAGATACAGGTGTTAACCATCATTCCCGCCACACGTAGATTCCAGTGCGGACTGAATACAGCTTAGCTCAAAAAAAAGCAGCCACACTTGTTGATTCGGCTTCATTCCGCAATTTAATCTTAGATCCAGCACCTCGTCAATCCTTGGCATGCAAAATGAGAGGTGCATCTTGCTTTACTAAGAACATTACATCCGAAGCCTGTAGACTGACCCTGTTCCACTTAGTCTCATGGGAACTGTTCCAACCACTGACTGAGTTATCTGAATAACTTTGCATTCGCCTAATAAATAATATATAAAGGTGTTTTACTTAGTAACTCAAATAAATCTTTTTTTCAAAGTAGAAAATGACAGCAGCTGTTGTATAATTGTTAAATTTAAATCTAAACCTTTCTCCAAACACATTCTGAAAAAATGGCTTAAGAGAAATAGAATCGGCATTTTGGGAAAAAATGCACTTACTTCACTTTCCTAGCCCATAATTAGATGAGAAGATGACTTGCCTTCCCTCATGTCTGCAAATCCCTAATGTGAAGGCTAGGCCAACAAGGTGGTTAGCTTAGTTTAGCATAAAGACCTTTTTACCTAGGGCTTGTTCAAAAAGAGAGGTTTATCAAGTTATCAGGATTACTTTGTTGCGGAAACCCCAAACCCCTTCAGATCTGTCGACTTACTTGCTTGTGGTGGCAGAGAGTTTCAGTTTTATGTGCTGAGGTTGTACAATTTCCAACTCTGAAAGCTGAGATAATGTGTAAGTAGGTGTTGGGAATATTTCTCTGGTAGAAAGTACTTCCAATGACAACTTCCACAGTGAGATCCGTGGATTATCAAGGATAACTGGAAGCTTTAATGCTGTGAGCAACACAAACAAAACATCACTCAACTCCTTTGTATTGGGATGTCAGATATGGATATCTTCAAAACTCAGCAAATAAAACCAGAACTATCTGTGTGGCTGGATACTACGAGGAAAGGGGGAGAAAATGTGTTTTTCTGATTTGGTGAACCAACCCTTTAATTTGAGATCTACAAAGCCAAGGTGAGGTGGGTGTTTTAAGAGGTAAAATGTGACCACTCACCATAATCTGATGATTGTTCCAGCTTCAAGCTGCTAGCTCAAATTATTATCAGTGAATGTTTAAATCCTGTAGAGTTCACATGATTGGCTTTTTTGACTGATCACTCTTTCTACAATTTAAAATGCTGATATTTGTACCTCCAGGGCTAAGGCTTCTTTTTACTAAATTGCTCTGAAAAGCTACTCACTGAAATTCCTCATGTGTCTGCAAGAATCAACATTAACAGAAGAATCAAATCAGTATGGTGTGATCTCACTGGAGTGAACATCTCCTGTCTACTTCCTCTGCCTGACCACTGGTGCAGCCAGCTGTCTATGAACTCAGCAAGCCAATCACATCTCACATCACCGCTGCGTGAGCTGCGAAGCCTCCTGCTGTTATGGAAAAAAGTTGTCCTTGGCCCACTTCACTGCACACGGCGACAGAAATGTCAAACATCCTCACTTCTTCATTCTCTCTCTAAAACACGCCACAGCACTCCAGAGCACACTGGGTAAATGTTTGGGTAATATTTTACATACAGTTTCTGTATGAGTAATAGGTTAGTGTTCAAACACACACCCCAAAGATGGATTAGAAACACTCAGCATACCCTTAACTCTGACTGTCTCACTCTGCCCTCTCACTGACATCAAGGAGGGAGCCGTGGTTCTGACTGAAGACACACTGACAGACGGACGAGACACATAGATCTGTGTGTGTGTGTGTGTGTGTGTGTGTGTGTGAGAGAGATGTGTATTAGTGATAGGAAACAGTGTGGTTATGGATGGAATATAGATGCAATATATGTATGTTATTGTTTAAACACGAATTGACAAAATAAAGAAATAAAGATTGTTATTTTCTTGTCTGACTCTCACCAAATGTATATTTTCTTGTTTCATCAACACACAAACATATATTTAAATACACTAATGTTTGTCTGTTGCTGAAAGGCTGTTGTTTTTTTTCCAATTTTCCCTATACCTCATTGGTCTTGGTCTCTCCGTTCTGGGCAGGGCCATCATCCTTCTTCCCCTTACCACCGCCTTTCTTTGCCTTCACCCCCTTATCATCTGCCACCTTCTGCACGGAAGAAATGAGAAGAATATACAACATTACATGAAGGCACATATCATCATACATGGAAAATAGTTTCTTTTTCTTTTTCTCCTGCAAAATAACAATGTTAACAATAAACCTCTCATAATAGAAAGGGAAGAGAACCGTGTTGATACTGCTGAAGATCATCTGCAGGTCCTCAAAGTAATGAAAATAAATCAAATAAATTTTTTTTTTTGCTGCAAACTATACTTTTATAAGTTTTTACCAGTACTTTAATATCCTAAATAAATACCAATAAACTGGTGTAGCTGCAAACATGTTTGCATATAAGGTGTTTGTTTCTGTGTTTTTCACATCCAGCGGCCTTGGTTGCACACATGAACTGGTAGTGAGGGGCAACCAAGTGCCTCAGACTGTTGCAAATTTATGGGGATATAAATAAATTATTGTAGGCGTAGTGCGCGCGCGCGTGTGTGTGTGTGTGCGTGTGTGTACTTTACCTTGACGATGGCCTTCTTGGGCTTGGCCTCAGGCTTGGGAGGAGCAGGTTTCTGCAAATTAGGCAGAAGTCAGTTAGGACTGACGAACCGCACAGTGTACAGTTTTTGGAGAAATATTAGTTTATCTTTGGTTCCCCCTCCTCTCTGCACTTACAAAGCCATTTCTGCACTGTTTCAAATACTATGATTTTAGCCACAAGAGCTGCAAATTCGTTAGGACTAACGCAAAACACATGGAGGTTTGGAATGTCTGCACTGGCTCCTGTCTGTAAATATTAATGATAATCAAATACATGTACTTGTTCAGTGTATTTCCAACGCAATGAGATCTGACAATATTCCTGTGCTAAGTAGTTTTAAGTGTCTGCCTCTTCTCAAAGTGAGCTGACCTCAGGCGTCTGTACAATGACTATATCAGATGGGAGTTAAAACTGTAGCCACTCAGTGTGAACAAGTTTGCTTCAGAGCTTTTCCAGGCTGCTGTGCTAACCCTGAAGCCACAAGCTAACCCTAACCACTGCTGTGACTAAATGAAATCATGTGATTCTCTCTCAGAATATCTCGGTTTTTATTTAGAAATCAATGACTCTGCACATGAGACGATACATGAAAGACATAAATTCGTCGCACTCCGGGGTGAAGTGGGGCTTAACAGTTACAATAACATGTAGGAAATGACCTACATGTTATTAGACTTTTTTGTCATGCAGTCCAGATAGTAGCCTATAAACAACATAACAGTGCGGGTTTGCGGCTAAAAAAGTCACATCTTATTGAATAAGTTTACAGCTGAAGGTGTTCAAAGAAAAGGAAATATCCAATCAGTGTTTTTTGTGCTTATTCTCTTTCTTCCTCTTACCAGTCTCATTTCTGTTAGAGCTAACAGACGCTTAGCTTAGCATAGCTTAGCGTCAAAACTGGAAACAAGGGTAACAGTTAGTACAGGTTCCCAACAGGTTGCCTGGCGAAGAAATCATAACATAATCGCCTTTAAAATGTAAATTTTTCTTTTACACTTTGTTTTTTTGTACATATTAAAAAAACATGATATAATGAGTTCATTAGCGAGCTTTAGAAGTGCTGTGAGGTTGTTTTTAACCTTTGGACCGAGCCAGACTAGCTGTTTCCCCCTGCTTCCTTTCTTTATGCTAAGCTAAAGTGCATGCTAGCTACTAGCCTGATATTTAGACTTAAGAGTCTATGTTCTCATCTAAGTCTCAGCAAGTAAGAGAATAAGCATATTTCCCCAAATGTTAAACTATTCCGTGAAGTGCACATGCAAATGGACAAACACATGCAAAGACCCAATACTGATAAGTCCAACATGCAAGGTACGACACAAATAAAACACCTGTATGGAAGAGCTGCATGATCACATAAAAGTAGTAACCGATAGTTTTACTTGGATTTGGGAACAATTTTCCACGAGTAGTTTTGGTTATTGTTGAATATTTTCAACTATAGTAGGGGATCGAATTAATAAAAAATGCTTTACTGTTACTGATTTTAATCATGCAGCCCTTCACATCAACAAGGTGCTGGAACAGACCAGACTGAGAACACACGAAGACAACACCGAAAATACATGCATACCAAGCCAGCCGCGATCCTCAGAGAGCATGTTTATGGAATTTGTAAACTTTCTTAATCAAATCCATAAACTGGGTGAGGACTTTACTCTGAGCCTTGGCCATATGACACTTACTATCCCACAAGACTGAGGTGGGATGAAGGGGAAGGCAGGGCGAGGAAGAAGAGGACAGTGACAGAGGTGAAGACAGGGAGGTGAGAACGGAACTTACCGCTGACAATCTCTCTGACCTTCTGGTGGGCTACCGGAGCAAGGGATGATCAATGAGAGAGAGAGAGACAGTGACAGAGAGAGAGAGAGACAGACAGATATCAGTTGTACCTTTGCGGGCTGATCTTGAGCTCATCTGCTTGGTGAGTGCTACAAGTGTCCTAATAATTAACCTGTATCTATTCTTTCACTCATTCATTCACACACACACACACACACACACACACACACTGTCAGTACAAAAAAAACACAGCACACCAACACATGCCTGCACGCCCACACACAGCACACAAACACAGCCGAAACATTTACCTCTTGTTTTGTGACTTTGGAGGCTTCCTTGCCCTCGGGACCCTCTGGAGACTGTAGGAAATGCAACAGGGAAGACTGTTAAGTGTGGAGGTGCACATACACAAGCATACGACGCGTCTGAAGTCAAGACTTCCGCTTTAAAAATGAATCGTCTGGTTGTTTTCACCGGTCATCGTCAATACATTTTAATTTTATTTTTAAATTATAATTTTGTATTAAAAAATATAAAATAAAGTGTTTCACTCTCTTGAGTCGTCCATGTGTAGCTTATGCTTGCTGTGGCGTAATATAAAGAGCCAAGGAGGATCAGTAATAAAAACAAATACTGCAAATCATTAAGCAGTATAACTTTGGAAGAAGATCAAAAGGTTAGCAACTGGCTCATTTTTCTATTGAGAAACCTTCTGAACAGAAATCCCACTTACTACTAATAATAATGTAATAAATGTGTAACTAAAGTTGGTTAGTCAATTAATCAATAGATAATAAATAGATCTCTTTTTTGTCTTCTCTTTTAGTTTTTTTTTTGTCTTTTGTGATAGTAATTTAAGCGATAAGCTCAGAGTTTGGGAAACAGTGATGGGATTTTTTTTTGCTATTTTCTAACATTTTATAGACTAAATGATTATTTGAGAAAATGATCTGTGGATTACTTAATAATAAAAATAATTGTTAGTTACAGCCCTATGTGTAATACTAGTTTTGTATGACACAAAACTTAGTCACAAAGTCATGTACATCTGATAAAAAACAGCAAACACGAGTTATTTTTTCTGGTAGGATCCCCACTGAGCTGCTAATACACAAAAAGTCTATTATTTTTGTTATGTATATACCAGTATTAAGAATTTTAAAATAGTTGTTATCAGAATCTTAAAAAACTTAAATTTCATTACTTAAATGTATTTTGTATTTTATAGATTAATTTAGAATTTTGTAATTTGCTTAAAACCCAATGGATAACTGCAATATTTCACATAATTGAATCATGATTTAATTCCAAGCCCGAACTTGCTTAGAGGTTCACATTTACTAACTGCAATCTGACATTATGTGATGATGATAAATGGTCTCCCTGGTGATTAACCATGTTAACGGAGGCGTCTTGTTTACATGCCAATAACTGGGCTCCCTAAAGAATAATAGAATATAAACACGGCTTCATTTAGCCGCGGTTCCAACACACCGTGAGCGCTGTCAGCCTACACCATGAACAGCACATTGAGGCTGCAGGTAGGTGAGGACGGTGTACGGGAGAGTCCGCCCCCACCATAGAAAAAAAAAAAATGTTGGTTTAGCCTGCAGGTTGGCAATCGCATCATTTGCATGTGGGCGACCTCCGCCCCTAGAGGCCTCCCATTCTCTGTCGTCAAAGGCGAATCTGCGCAGACAATGGCAGTTTTTGGATGGTAAAAAAACCCATTTCCCTGTATGCACTGATACAATGCACTGGAGCTCGTCGTGCAGTGCTGTTTAGACAGTGTCACGGCCTCTTTTAACACAGCGGCAATTGTCTCTGATCCCCTCTTTCTTTATTCCTTTCTCTCCATCTGGATATGGGTTCGTTAAATCGGCTTGCTCGGCTACCATTCATCACCCCTGGAGAGCCAAAAATGAAACAGGGAGGTGGTGATCTTTTTTTTCACGGTTAAATTACACATTATTCAGAGTCGATAAGTCTCATACATGCGCGAAACGCGCCCAGAAGAATTATCATCACGCACGTCTCCTACGGGATTTACGCATCCATCCATCCGGCGGGTCCGTCTGACATTCACCAGTGCGCACAGTGGACAGGGAAGTGGCATATAAAACGACCACAAGAACGGCCATTGAGATGAACACGGGGACATGTATGGTGTAAAAAGAAAAAATATTACTGAAGACACATTGTACATACACGCAAAGACGCGCTGAATACACCTGAAAGGTTGCGGACGAAGAGACGCTTCCTCAAACTTTGGCATCACCTCACCTGCCTCGGCGTCGCCACAGAAATCGCGCACCGCTATTTTCCTCAAATGCAAGAGCAGAAAAACTACAGTGAAGTGAGCTTGATGCCACAAACGACACTCACCTTTCTCTTCGGCATTTTACGCGTGAATTATTCTCCACCAAGCACGGAAAAATTAAGGTCAAACCCGAAGGTCCAAGAGAGGCGAATTTGAACTACCTCGAAATACAGGATCAATATCTAAGCACCTTCGATAATATGTTGATTATATGCACTCCCCAAAACTCTATACCTCCCACTGCCATTGGGTAGAGGGGTCAAAATCCTCTCCTGTGCTGACTCCCGATTGGCTCCTCCCGTCTCTATGTAAATAAGAGGGTCGCGGACATTGGCCGAGATATATCAGAGGGTGGCTGTGATTGGCTACGCGCTCTTTGTGCGCAGATCCCACCAGGCGGCGATGGCTGAGAGGGAAAGTGGAGACAGGCCAATGAAAGCGGGGCCGACTCTCGGTGGATCTGGGTAATGTAGGATGAGAGAGACAGAGAGAATGTTGTAAATAAAACACAAAGGACGAGAAAAACGGGCACAATGGCACAATGTCGGCCATAGACGAGCTCCAGAAAAGCTGGTGGGCATTGTGTCTTGTAGGGAGTCCACTGCTCTAAAGAACTGGAGTAATCATTCACCACATTTTGCACAACAAATCACTGCAGAGGCACCAGTCCCTGCAGGAACATGACACTAGTAAAACAATGCAATGAATAAAGTCACTATTAATTCACTGTTGCAGTCAAATTAGACTTGAGTTGTAATCAGGACACGTTTTACCTGTAAAATATCAGAATGTCAGACAGGTGTACAAATAGGTTGCCCAAGTTCATTTAATGTGCAGTGGTGCTTTATTTGTGTTGGTATCTCTACGAGGATTATTCAGCATTTTACATGTGTATTATCAAACTAGAGGAGTATGAACTTTCATGTGCAAATACTAGGATACTGATTCAGCGTTTTCTCTCTTGATACCCATTCAGATACCTCATCTCTGGGCATCTGCTGATAAGCCACAGAGACAAAGAAACTGCATTTAACGTGGATCAATCACATCATGGCCGATGCTCGATGCATATTGGTGCAGATACTTATCCGGTGTTGTTATTTCTGTGCATTACCAGCAAATACTTTAAATCACCCACTTCCCTGGGCCAATTTGAAACGTAATGGACAACCTTGATGAGGTAAACTGAGAAGCCAAGGTTCCAACAGGCAGCTCAGTTACAAACATGGAGATGAGTGTATGTGGCTACCAAGTCATCAGATTGGTTCAAAGGTGTGTAAAGGTGGGCCATTTCTGCTCTGAGTTTTCTGTTTTTTTTTTTACATACACTTCCATAATTAAGTTTCCCCCTAAAGTTACAGTACAAATTCTGGTAAACACCTGTTCCCCATTTAAGGGACAGTTTCGTCCAAAAGGGACCTGGTCGTACGTACAATTCTTTTTTATGCTACATTATATGACACAGGAATGTTCGCACAGTGATTATAAGTGCTTATAGTCTGTGTAGTCATATATTTTGGGGCTGCACATGGACGGTCCACTCACAGACATGGGGCAGTTGATGAAATTAAATCTCAAATACCCCCGCAGCCAGGTGGGTGCTGAAGGTTTAAAATAGACTTTAGTCAGTGCAAGTGCCCGTGTGGTCAGCCAAAGGGGGATCACGTTTGGATCTGGTAAGCCTAGGTGCCTTCTGGTTGGCCCAAAGTCAGCTCAGATTGTCCAAAAAAGTACCCTCTCAGTGCTACTGTCCTGTTGTGACTACAGGACAAAATTCTACTCCTAACTTTCCTCCTAAAGTTTGAGCACACCACTGTTCATATTTATTGCTACAGTTGCACCACATCACTTCTTTCCCTGGATGCAAAATCTCTGTCTGTTAAGACAGACTGTATACATTTAGGAGCCTGAAGAGTGCTGTTGTGTCTTCAGAACTTCATTTGCTATAGTTTAAATCAGGATGAGCGACCCTCATGAAGGGCAGAATATTTTTTTTAATTGCTCTTCAAAATGTGTCACCAGTCTCCAGTCATCAGTTTGTCATAGAGCTTAAATGTTGGGCTGAAACTAACAACTAAACTGGCATTTTTTGCTCAGGGCCCAAGGTGAAAATTGTCCCATCAATGGTCTTAAACCCAAATATATTCAATTTACTATTATACGTGACAAAAAACAACAACAATCCAGATCTAAGAGCCTGGACCCAGAGAATGTGGCATTTTTGCTTGATGGTTAAAATAATGATCTAAATAGTTTCTGATTAATTTTCCGTTAGTTGACTAAACAATTATTTGCTTCAGCTCTTCTGGAAACTTCTTAGAGTTTAAACATATGCACTGACATGCAAATTCTACCAACTTTGCAACAATATAATATAATAAACTAGAACCTCTTCTATAAAACAATGGCCTTAACCATATTCTATAATGTTTAAGTGCATACCTCATAGCAAATGCATTTTAAACGTACAACACCAAAAAAACATTCTACAAAGAAATCAACAAAAGCAACCTCAACATTCTTGTGTATCATCACAATAGACAGCGAGAGAGCTACAAATCTCACAATAGACAGAGCTTTCCTGCCCAAACAAACAAAACCCTTCGTGTCTACATGGGTGTGAATACACAACTGCTTTAGAAGTCAACCCAGAACACACAGGAGCAGGTAGCTTGATGGCTGCGCCACTGTCCCCACATAGATTCACACTGTCAGCTAAATGGAAGCGAAAACACAATGAGGAACATGTACAGCACATACATACATAAAAGAAAGACACAAAGGGAATCCATACTGAAAAGAAATAATTCAAATTTTCCTAAAATGTTGTGTTTATTATTCTAATTGAGAACACTTCTTTGACGCACTTGATGATGGGTTCACCATTACTTTTCTGTTTGTACATTTTCTCTTCTTTTGTCACATATAATAAAGCAACAGTTGTGGTGCCTGTAGTTTGACTTCACACAATAAATAATGTTAATGTTAATAATGTTTCCCTTCTAAAAATAAAATAATTGAGTGAATGAAGATATTTTTGAAAACATATGCACCAAATCATGTTTATGAAACTGAGAATTCTGTTACTATACTCAAAAAATATACTCAAACAAGTGGACAATAAAGCTAGCGGCTCTGGGAGGCTGTGCTTTGGCACTGTGGTGCTTTGAGCTAAATGCTAACATCAGCATGCTAACGCGCCCACAATGACAATGTTAATATGCTGATGTTTATCAGGTAATGTGTACCATGTTCAACAATTTAGTTTAGTATGTTAGTGCACTAACATTTGATAATTAGTAACAAACATAAAGTGGTGCTGAGGCTGATGGGAATGTCATTAGTTCTGCAGGTGTTTGGTCAAAAACGAAAGTATTGGACATATTCAAAATTTGGCCTGATAATGGCGCTAGAGGAAAAGAGTCAGGGATCACTAAAGGGATTACAATTCATCCTGAGAGGAACAAGACTGTTTTAACATTGTGACAATGCATCCAGGGGTTTTTGAGATATTTCACTTAAAACTGCAACATCAACCTGCTGGTGGTGCTTGAGAAATAAAGTCAGTAGGATTCATCCAGCGGGCACCATGAATATCTGCAGAATTTCATTATTATTCAAATGTTTTTACTGGGTTTTCAAACATTTTACATATTATACATTATATATTATGCCAACATCTGCATCCCACCTTCCTCAACCCCCGAGAGACTGGCCAACACACCGAGAGTGAAAATAAAGAACTAAATAACTAAAGAAACTGGGTTCAAGAGAGATTCAGATCTCAATGGGCAACGCCAAAGGTGTCCAGGCTCTAGGTCTATGGTCTTGTTACACATGCACATGGGTGTTTCAAAGACCATAGCCTAAAACTGTCCCATGCTTGGGTGTGACGGCCCTAGGGTTGGCCTTATTCTGTTCCTCTTTCTTGGTTGTTTACTTTCTTTGTTTCAGGAAGTAGGGGGTGGAGCTGAGATTCCTCCCTGACGCAGCTCACCTGAGCAGACTGGGCTCAGGAGGCTATAAATCAGACCTGCAAGGCTTTCTCAGTCTCTTCCCCTGGCCTGCTGACTGAACTATTGGTTTTTGTTTGTGTTCTGGGTTTTACATTCATACATACACCTCACCCTTCACTCACACAGGCATTGCAGATATACTGATTTGCTGATAGACATAGTAAACTGTATTGATTATTTTTGTATTAACATAATTAAATTGAGTTAACAGACTGTGTGGTCTCCCTCTTTGTCACACACTTTTGAGACAGGTAGGGTCTAGTTGGACAGGCCTACTATTGGGTAGATGGAGTCGGAAATATTTTAAATTGGATCAAACTATCTCTGACACATATGGAGGTTGTGTGTGGATTTTCAGATATCATCCTCCCATTTCGATTTGAGATGTGAGATCTTTAACTTTGGACCAAAGTGGTCAACCAACAGACCAACCAAGTGACCGACATAGCCACCCATAGTGCTATAGTGCTACGCTCCTAGCATGGTTAAAATTGATTGGAATGATACAATGATTTGCATTTTGTTGATAATTTAAACATGCATGATGATATGTGAGAAAGTGACAACTAATTGGGTTAAAAGAAACCCGAAGCCATAACCAAAAAGCTTTTTATTTTTTGTAAACAAAATATATGTTTGTTATCAGACAGTAGTTATATAATGACATAGATTAATTTATAATTTTCCAAATGCCTGAAAATATTCTTACAGTGAACATTCTTTTTACATTCTTTTGGTTAAATATTTCTTTAGTTTTTCTTCAAAAATTAAAAAAATCGCCCTTTGTACCAGTTAAACTAGTGCAATGACCTTTTGTTTGGCCATCCGAAAAGTGCTGTTGTGACTAAAATTAATGAAGAATTTGCCAGTGTTATAACTCAAGATGGAGAATACGTTCCCAATCCCTCAGTCTTAAAATGTCTCCAGAGTCTGCATGTGAGAATCAGAATAGATTTTAAGATTGTTTTCATTGTGCTCATAATGGCCTCGCTCCACGGTATCAGATAGAGCTTGATATCCACACTGTGTGCTCCTTAGGGAATGCAGAGAGCAGCTTTGAGCATTTATGCTCTAAACTTGCCCTAAATTAAACTAATTACAAATCTAACTCAAGATTGGTACACATCATACATTTCTGTGCTCACTGACAAAATCACTTTACAGAAAGTTTAAATAATATAATATCCCAGAGAGGTGTTGGACCACCATACTTCCGTAATCCTTGGCATTGATTCTCTAAGTCTCTGAATCTCTAGCTGATTGATGGAACAACATTATTCCAAAAGATACTAATTAACTAATAACTAATTAATACCTTTTATGATGGTGGTGTAGAGCGTCTAACACTGTGCTCTAAAATCTCCCATAGGTGTTCTGTTGGGCTGATCTCTGGTGACTGTGAAGATCACTAAATTCACATCATTTCAGTAGTCATCAAGTGATCCCCCATGCCCTGTATGGAAGCATCTGCATTTGTTTCTTCACTAATCTATTCAGATTTATATGTTTTTATCTGTATATGTATGATATATGATTTAAAAATGAACATAGGCCTACATCTAATGTCATGATAGACCACTGCTCCTGTAAAAGTTGGTTTTACATTTTAACCTCCAAATACACAAAAATAATTTTGCATTTGAAAGTTCATTCTCAACCTTGGAAACAGCAATAGAGAAAACAATCTAATCTCGAGGTCCCTGTATTAGCTGTTCTGGAGCTTTTGATCATGTCACATGATCATCAGCAGATAGAATTGCCCAGTTGCTACAGAATTATGAATGTTCAATTTTCCATTTATTCTCATCTGTACTGGCTTAAAATATGACTTTATAACTTCTTTCTTGACCTTGGAAACAGTAGACGAATAATTCAAATGAGGTATTAGAGTATTTAACATCAGTAAACTGACCTTTCTCTGTCTCTGAAATAGTCTCACTTTCACGAGTGATTCTTCATTATGAGTAAAGGTCCTGTATTCAAAACCTTGCTTAAGTAAAGGTTTGTAAGTATTGTCAGCTAGACAACTTTAAGTATCAGAAGTCAAAGTATTACAGCAGTAAAATGGTCCCTGTCAGTGTTTTATATGATGTCTGTCTACTTAATACACTGCTGGCTAGTTAAATCTGCAGCACTGTATCATATTATATAAGATTACCATACGGTCGTAGAGTCTCTATCCTGTGAGAACCACATAACTTTCCATGAGCACAGAAAAACAGCCCTGTTTTTAGTTTTATGATAAGGAGGGTTTAAAATAATGTATTTAGTTTAAGAGGAGAAGAGAATTTTCTCAACCCATAGAGAAAAACTTAGTCCTTCTGAAAACTTAATCTCACATTTGGAGATACATGGTTTTCACTGGACAGGTGTGAAAAACTGTAATCTGAGTAAAGATGTCAGATCACTGTGGTGGAGTAAAAAGCACAATATTTGCCCACATTTGAGATGTAAGGTTAGTGGAGTAGAAGTATATCATACAATGGAAATAAAGTAAAATATCTCGACTTTGAACCTAAGTACAATACTTGAATATAAATCTACATTCACATCCCAGTGAGTGAGAGGAAGGCCAGACTCTGACCCCTGACTACTTTAGACAGGACATGACTGACACCTTGTGGACAATGTGTGTCATTCTCGTTGCAGGGCCGCTATTGGCATTGCACTTAACATAATATAAAAAAAATCTCTGACGGAATCAGAGCAACAGTGTGTTTGAATGTCACTATTTTCAGCATGGGGCATTATTTTGTCCCGCCTCCGCATCTTTAAATGTAAAGCCACATTTCACCATTTCACCATGACTGTAACCTGACTGACACCAAGATGTCTATTTATAATACCAAATAATACTCCCCCCTCATCGTTACCCCTCCCGTCTCCCTTCCTCATCCCACATTACGTCATTGGAAACCTGTGCGCACTGGATTTTGGGGGGGACGCAGAAGAGAAGCATGCACTCGCAGGAAACACCGCACAGCCTTTTGTCTTCAGGTGATCTTGTTTGGTGTCACATATGTCAGTGAAACGACAGAAAGGGTAAAAAAGGAATAAAACCGGTTAATAGGCGGGACTTCCTTCAGTAGCACCAGAGTCCGGGCTGTTTATCTCTGCGTGTGCAGCGCAGGGCGAGCCAGTGCGCGATCAAATAACAAGGTAAGCTTGTTGACAGCGCAATATTAAGCGTTTTTAATGTGTGCCTTTTTAAACTGCCTCCATGTCGTTTTCAGCTGATCCACTCGTGTGGAGTGGACCTGCGTGTGTTGTTGCAGGCAGAGCTGCGTGCTTTAGCTGTTAGCGCTGCAGCACAGAAAGCTAAAGCCCGGAGCTCTGCACTGTGTTTCCCCTTTTAATGTGTCTGTGACAGTTTGTGGTGGAGTCGCTCTTATGGATGCATTCCTTTTATTCACAGCCATATTTCCAATGACATTGCTCTCCTGACCTGTAATGTCTTCGCTGCTGATGCTTTCACGTTGATCCTCCTGTCTAACTCCATGTTATGGAGAGGCTGATGTATCATAATAATGTCAGTGTCATGCTACCAGACTTGTTATTGCTTGGAATATGTGCTATGTTATCATGATAGATCTTTAATGCTGTATTATAACTCCTTACACTAGGGCTGATTATTTTCATTATTAATCTTTTAATCATCATTGATCTATTATTCTAATATTATCTATAAAATGTCCAAAAAACTTCAAACTGTTCAAAACCCAAATGTATTTAGTTTAAAAATACAGTAAATTGTCATATTTAAGGAACTGGAACCAGACAGTTTGTTTGGGCTTGTCTAATAAATGGCTGCAATAAGTAAATGCTCATTAATTAGTTGTCAGCTAACTTTCTATTGATCAACTTATCGATTATTTGCCTACACCATAATCAACATTGATGGGCATTCCTTAAACTCTTGTGTGTGATTATAACACAATAATTACCACATGATTGGTTTTGAGGTATTTGGCTGCGCATGTCATTGCACAACAAGCACATGCTAACAAGGAAGTACACTAAATGGCCAAACCGGAACTAAAAGGCATAGACAACACCACCAAAACATAAATATATATAAGTAAGTGAGCAGGGGTGTCCATGCATATTTTCAAAGTAAGACGGGTTAATTGCTTAGCTGAGTTCTTCCTAAGCAGTTTTTGTGTGTTTTTGTAGGTCGTCTCAACACACACCACACAATGCTGGGCTGCTTGCTGCAAGGAGGCTGCAGTCCTCTGGTCTGCCTGTTGTCCCTGATGCTGCCTCTGGTCTCCCTCCATCGCTTGAACCAACATGGGCGCAGGGGCCACATCGTGAAGGACCGGCCCAAGTTGCTGCTTGTGTCCTTCGACGGCTTCCGCTGGGATTACATCGACCGGGTCCCCACGCCCAACTTCAACAGCATCATGGATGAGGGGGTGATGGTGAAACAGGTTGAGAGCGCTTACATCACAAAAACCTTCCCCAACCACTACAGCTTGGTGACGGGGCTGTATGCTGAGACGCATGGCATTGTGGCCAACGAGATGTACGATCCCGTTCTGAATCAGTCCTTCTCCATGGAGACGGACAGTATTTATGAATCACGGTGGTGGGAGGAAGCGGTGCCTCTCTGGGTGACCATCCAGAACGCTGGAGGGCGAAGCGGGGCGGCGATGTGGCCAGGGTCTGATGTGAAGATCCACGGCATGTACCCCAATCAGTACCTCCCGTACAATGCCTCAGTCTCCTTCGAAACCAGAGTGGAGCGGATTATTGAGTGGTTCTCTGCACCCAAAGAGGAAGCAGTGGATTTTGGAGTTCTGTACTGGGAGGAGCCGGATGAGAGCGGACACAACCTGGGACCTCAGAGTTCCCTCATGGACGTAGTCATTGCCGGGATTGATGAGAAGCTCGGTTTCCTCATGAACGAGCTAAAGAAGGCAGGGCTGTACGAGAAAGTGAACCTGATAGTGACCAGTGACCACGGCATGGCACAGCTTTCCACTGAAAAAATCATAGAATTGGATAGGTATGTGAGCAGAGACCTGTACACCTGGGTGGATAAGAGTCCTGTGGTGGGAATACTGCCCAAAGAAGGTATCTATCACAGTCATACTGTCAATAAACATGATTAAAGGAATAGTTTTGTGAAAAAATGCTAATTTGCTTTCTTACTAAGACCTATTGACCTTTTCTGTTTAACCAACTTAGATGTCATTTTGTTCCATTTGTCATTCATGTCATTCTCTAATAATGCACAGGACTATGTTTCTTTAATCTAGAGTAAAATGTGTGTTTGTTTGTTTTTGTATTTTCTAATAGCCTATTTGTATGTGTGGATATTTTCTATCATTGCTCTATCATATGCTTTGCAGGAAAGCTCGAAGAGGTGTATGGTCAGCTGGTGGATGCGAACCCGAACATGGTGGTGTACAAGAAGGAAGACATTCCCGAGCACTTCCATTATCGACACAACGTCAGGATCATGCCCATTCTCATAGAGGCCAAAGAGGGCTGGACCGTCATGCAGAACCGGACCGGGCCCTTCATGTGTATGTATTCAAACTTCAGTATTCTGGTTTGTGGCTGTTCACATTAAACATTGTTTTATTTCCCCCAGTTGTTTCAAACAGCAGGTTTTGTCAGCTCTATTAATAACTTCACAGGAGATTGTTTCAGTCATTGAACCAAAGCTAGCTCATATTGTACCAGCTGTAATTAACAAAGAAAGCCAGATTTGTTTTCCCCTTGGAAACAGCAGGAATGAGTGAGCGTGTGGGTTTGGAGCGTTGACATGCACCGCCTCCAACTGCAGTTCTTAATCCAATTCAAATCAAGCAGGTTTTTCTTCAAACACCGCCTCTTGAGATTAGAGATCTTAAACCGTGTATCTGTGAGGGCAGAGTTTGTCGTTGCAGACTACATCAGCGAATATTAATTCCTCATCTCTTGTTGAAGGCTTGTTAATCAGTAAAATGACCTGGTGGAGTCTGCAGCAGGAAGGAAAAACCTGCTGACTGGTTGGAGACTGCTTAGCTGGATATGTGTAGTATACTCTCCCACATAGCAAAGGGTGTTTCTACTGTATAGCTGATTTATGGGCCTGGATGATAAAAAACATAGCTGTTACTGTCAAGCAGTGGCACCTTCTTCTCAGTGCCTTCCCTGTAATGCACTGAGATATATATTAATTCAATGCTCACTTATTAATGATTATTATTGGTTTATGTGGACTAGACCCGAACTTCCTGGTGACAGTTCTATCTTTGATTATTCACTTTCTCTCCTGTGTACTTGAATTAAAGGCGGTACGACAGATGTGTTCAAGTATGCGCTTCCTGTGTTGATGTGGTCTCCTGTCAGTGAGAAGTTACTATTCTAGTGTGTTTCATCACCATATTTAGCATTACACTGCCACAATAGAAACTGTAGCATCATCCTTACAGACTGGTTACTATTTGTGATCCTGCTCCATCCCTTTTTTAGGAGGCTAGGCTAGGCTAGGCTTTAGGTAGTTTTGTTATTGCTCATGAGATCATACCTTAAAGGTGCCCCGTGGAGTTTTTAGGTAACAAACTAAATTCTGCATTACGTGTATCTTTGAGGCCTAGGAAACATGTTAAATGCATTTTAATCCTCATAAAAAATTTGCAAAGCAAATTTCTTAAATATTTTCTATTCTGCAATGTTTTACGCCCATGTTTACTTGCTAGTAGTCCTCTTCTTCCCTGCCTTTGTTGGCATATTGCGATGTTTCTTTGCCTGTTACTCTACTGTTGATCAGATGAACAGTAAAAGACCCCACTGGCGACCTATAAGGCAGGAGAAGTCTGAGTTACTGTATATGATTGGATGGTTATCTGCCGTCACAGGCAGCACTGATAAACTGTATTGCTTGTACTCACAGCACAAAGTAATCCTGTCAGTTCTTCAGGAATGTAGCACTGATGGATTTTAGGACCAGTAGTTAGTCAGACTAAGCTTTCATCAAAGCGTCTTTGTGCTTGTGTGTTTTGATTGAATTTTCAGTTTGTGCATTGTAGTGATTGATTTAGCGCTAACCAGTCTGCTGGGGCAGGCAGTGATGTTAGTAAATCATCTGAGAGAGCAGTAGTGCCAGATTCCATAAATCTCCAAACAAAAAGTGCGGGCTGTGATTCATGGGATATGGAAACTGGAGATCTATAGATTAACAATGCAAGAGTAACAAAAATCACAGCTTTGTACCTATTTATGCATATAACATATTTCTTATCTTTCTCTCCAGTGGGAAACCACGGCTATGACAACACCTTACGTAGCATGCAGCCTGTGTTCGTAGCCCGTGGGCCGGCCTTTCGCCAGCATTACGTCAAGACGTCCATGAGCTCTGTTGACCTTTACCCTCTCATGTGCCACATCCTGTCCATCCACCCTCTACCTAACAACGGCTCCCTCTTCAACGTTAAGGACCTGCTGTCCGTGGAGCCAGCTCCACCCACGGCCAGCGTCCCTCCCAAGGTCGAGGAGTACTCCTACGCCCCCGTCATGGGTTCTTTCATCGGTGTGGTAATGGTGCTGGGCTTTCTGGTGGTCTACATCAGACAAGTGACGCTCAAACAGCTGCCCTCAATAAAACACAGAAGCAGGGAGATGTCGCAGCCCTTACTGCAAGAGGACTTGCACCTGTAGCTGAAGAAACAGAAATGATGGCAGGCATAAAAGAAGAGGAGGTATTGCTCCCCAAGGTAGTCCGCCCTATCCAGAAGCATCCCCTTTACGCCTCCCTTATACGGCTAAATGCCATTGTGCTGCTCTTTTTATTAGTTGGAGATCAAGCGAATCTAATCTAACCTCCTAATCATATAGAGGTACACCCTGCTTGCTTGAGTGCAAGGGAAATGTCTAGGGTATGCTTCTGGTCGAGGCATAATCAAGATAATAAACCTTTACATGGGCTTCATAGTGGCTTTGCTTTGATTGTGAATTTTACCTAATCTCATCTCGTCATTTTCATTGTCACATAATAAGTAAAAAATGATAAGCTAACAGTGAAATTTCAACCTGTGATTCTGGCAAGTATGAACCTTTGTTGCCCAAAACCATGACTTGGATAACATTATGATGTCAGTATGCTTGCAAACAATTTGTTAGTCTGAAGGTCAAAATCTTTATAGCTAAACAGCCACAGTTTAAGTTGGGGTGTAAAGCCGGCCATCATAGAGAGGGGCAAGAAGCAATAATTGTTGAAATGGGGATAACTGTGCACACTTTCAGACAATCTTTTTATCATCGGCATTCATAGTCTTGCACTCTTTTGCACAGAGGAAAGCAGAAGTAATGAAGTGTGAAGAATAATTAAATATAGCTTCAGGGAGAAGTTCAAACCCTGCTTACTTTCTCCCCTCTACGCCTGGCCAGTCGCCGCGTGAAGTGGACATGATGTCGGATTGTCAGTTTTGGAAAGTTGCAAAAATTGTTAGACACAGCCCAGTAGATTTGGTTTGTTCGCCCTTGACATTAGGTCTTGTCAGGTTTTTGCCACCAATTGTTCTACTTGTGGTCTGAGCACTGAATTAGAAGTTACTTTGAAATACAAACGCTGTGATCAGTCAGAAAGGTATTCAAAACGCAACTCCTTTCAAGAGATTGGTTGGGGTTCGTATTATATTTGAATGTTACTTGGAAGCAGATGTTCCACTAAAGTCTCACTCAATGTGCCAGGCTACTGCTCATATGTGTAGGTCATTCCATGAGCCGATCACATCACGACGCGCTCTTTTAGTAGTCAGTTACCATTTGCCTTTTAACTTAACAGAGAACATCTCTCTAAGGTGTGCAATTGTTTGTGTGTGAGTCTGTTTTTTTGTAGAGTCTGTGTTAGGGGAGCATTTTTCTGTATAGATGACCGTGCACTGCCCACCTGTTCATACGTTGACTGTCATAACCATGGCCATTTGTTGGTGAAATGTGAAGTGCAATTGTTATTGGTCAGTATTTCGTCATGAGGATTTTAAGGGTTTTGTTGTTGCTTGGTTGGGAAGACTATTTCGGCATGACTTGCAAGAACTGTTCCCCTGATTTGCACTACAGGATAGAAATGAAACAGAACGAAGGGGCAGTAGTTGGATGCTTTTTAGGTCATGTATAATTTGCACTTATTGTTCGTAGTTGCTATTTGATATAATAAAAACGTAAGGTGCCTCCTGCCAAAAAGCTTTTTAATTAGCATAATAATAGAAAGTCAAGTAGAGTCCAAATCTGCAAATAAATAATTCTAATATTTTTCAGCATCATTTAAGAAATAATTGGTTCAATTTTCTGCTTTTAGATGCGTTAACTAAGACCTGTGCCCAAAAAATGACAGACATCACTGTGATATATACTTTTTACAAATTTAAATTCATAAATTAAAAGTATTTATATGGAAATTGTTAATTTTCTGATGATTGTCTTGTTTTATGAAAGAAAGTGTTGTCTGATAATTTTCCCCTGACTTGTTGACAGATAAATGAAATATATCCATAACATATTTAAATGATTCATTTGGAATTGTTAGAAAATGATAAATATTGGATCAGGTTTATCTCAGTTGGTTATTAACTTGGATTTGAAGTATGGATATTTAATATAATTTACAAATTAACTATCTTTGCCATGTTGATGCAATTAGTCTTCTGAAATTAAAGGGATTTGAAACTGAGCTATTTGTATTTTTGTTTATTTCTCTCTGTGTGTTTGTGTTGATTCCAGAGCCTTTAGACTCTTTCTTTATCCAGACCATTTATGTCTTCATTTGCCTCATGAATGCCTACAAGAAAGAGGCCAAATTCTCATAATCATAAATTGTCAAAGGCTGCAGCTTTGTGGCCGCTGATGGAACTGAGGGCCATACAATTTTCTCACCCACTGTGGATACCAAATCATAATTTAAATAAATAATGAAATAATAAGAAATAAATACAATAAATACATTTGCTATATATATAATAAAAATAATAATATTAGTTATTAGTGTTTAAAGTAAAAAAAATTAAGTTGTATTAACAAACCAGATCTCTTGCTTCAACAAAATTGAACTCACCCTGATAGGAAGGCACATATGTTAAGTCGGAAAAAAATTAAAACTCAAAATTGAATTGTTATCAGGAGTGAAAAAAGTTGGACAAACTCGAAGGCAAAACTAAAAATGAAGTTAAATTAACTTTCTCAAATTCTTTTTTTACAGTGAGTAAAATGAGGAATATGTAAAAAATAAAATAAAAAATCTAATCCAACTTTTCAGTGTATATCTATCCACTACACTCACGTGGTGTTGCACTGAAATTCGTGCGTCCTTGAAGGCACCGGCCTCAGCTTTTGCATAAATCACTCTTTAACTTGTAGGATCAAAGGTCTTTTTATGAGTTATCGCTGGAATTTGCCCAGGCGCTCAGTCAGTCTGAGGCAGGCAGACCGTGTGCCACCACCACCATTTGACCACTTCAGCACTCCTCCTCCACGTTAAACCCCAGCTCCGCCACAAAACCAACACCCCAAAACCCAGCAAACATGGACAACATCTATGACACAGTAAAAGAGGGAAGTGTGCATGAAGAGCGCAGTGATGGAGCTGACAGCCCCGACCGAGAGCCCGTGTATGAGAACTCAGGTGAGGCCAAGGAGCAGCTGTACAGCGAGGTGCAGGTCCACGCCCTTGCGGAGGTAGGGCGCAGCTCGCCGGACTACATGGAGATCAGAGACGGGGACAAACGAAGCTCCTCGTCCTCTTCATCCAGCGATGATGAAGAGGAAAAAGCAGAGGAGGTGAAGGCAGTGGTGGAGCCGGAGCCGGAGCCAGAGCCGGAGCCAGCGGTTGAGGTGAAGGTGGAGGAGGTGAACGGCGAGGCGCACGAAGGATCCAGGCGCTCATCGGCCTCTTCAGCATCCTCCGCGTCCCCCGAAGACCCGTGCGACGACCCGCCGAGGATCCAGGAAGAGGATAACGCGGTGGATGGGATGCTGATGGCCTACACCCACCCAGACACCGACTTCAAGCCGGAAGAGTCTGTCGAGTACAGCCTGAAAACTCTGGAGAATGTCAGTCTGGATGAGAGCAGCGCTGCACCGGCTGATCCCAGCCAGCATGACATCTCTCTGTTCGTCAAGGTAAGAAACATGCAGGCCTGTCTGTGTGTGGTTGGCCCATCTCCTGCCTCACTCACGGTTCGGCATGAGGCAGGAGACAGCTGCATTAAAGTTGATCAGCACTTTATCCGAGTTGCCAGGAGGTTCCTTGAAGTCATGTGTATTTTTCCACTGTGCTGGGAACTTTCCTTTTTTCTTCTCCTGTTTCTTTGGTGATAGTTACTCATGATGGAAAACCAACACAGCAGGGAATATATATATATATAATTCCCATTAAATAAATAGGTTATCAACATGCATATTCTGCATTTGTGGGGATAAAACATTGATTTCATTTGTAGCTGTACTGCAATATCTGGCATATCTACACATCAAATATTAGTGCACATATTGAGGAAGGCCATCCAAGTGTGTCATGAATATGTTTCTGTTTCGATCATTTGTTGGTTAAGTCTGTGCCAAAAACATGACTAATCACAACAATCGCCTCTGAGGTAATTATATGATAGTAATCCTAATAATCAGAAGCAGTGCCAGCACTGAAGGACATGCCCAAGGTATTTCCCAGTCAAAGTTCATGTCTCAATAGGTATAATTTACTATGGCAATGTACACCGTCAAGAAATGTGACTTTGTGGATTCCTTTTTTACATCATATCAAGCATAAGAAAACATACAAAAATCTTAAAACAATCTGAAGCAAATGTTTTGTTGTTCATAAATTAAAAACATAGATCGGAACTATAATGATATGAAGAAGGTATTCTCAGGCACTATAAGAGAGCTAAATACTATGTGAAAAACCGCCTCAGTGCACACATGGTTTACTGTTGAAGCCTAGCGAATTGTACACGTTATTTTAGTTGAATAAATTCAACATTTTGAAGTCAGTGATTAGAATCAAATGTATGATAACAATAGTATTTTAAACCGAAGTATATTCAGAAATATCTATATAGATTTCAGGAATCAGTCACAGCAGCAGTGATCTCTTTTAGCTTTAACCAGAGGCAGCCTGATGTAATCATTAACTTGTTTACTGTACGGCCATAGAAACCAGGGGTGAACTCCATGCCTGAGCAAATCTAAATGTGTATTTTGCTGCGTTTCTGATAGAGCTGGTCTGTGAGGTGCACTATCAGTACATGCAGGGGTCACTTTGCTGATTGGGCAACCGAGATTGAGAGTCAGTGGGCTGGGCTCTCTTTGAGCTCACCAAAGGCCTCGCAGCAGGGAATGACAGTTGCAGTTTCTGCTAAATCTTTCAATTTTCATGTTTTTGTATTGTGTCAGCAAAATGGTAAAATATAAATGGGTGTATGCAATCAACACAAACCGGTTGCAAACAAACAAAGTAATAGCTACAATCTGACTTGGATGATGATTTCTTGAAATGAGCCAAACTTCCGTCTATAATTGCAACAGGGACTGGGGCTAACTCCAGAAAGAGAATTAGCCTTTAGCTTTGCCAAATCCAGCAATGATTTGTTTCTGTAAATTTCACTTTATTTCATGACTATATCATAACATATTGAATGTCCATTGTTAGGACTTTTACAGAGGGAAGATTCTTGGCAATTGAGGATTTTATTTCAAGTCATAAAGACACCTTATTGTTCTAGTTCAGGATATATCTGTCCTTGCAGCTGTAAACCTCAGTTGACACAAGAGCACCGGAAACCTCAGCATATTAGCATATTTACAGCACAAAGGGACTAACACACACATTTTTTTTACATGGAGATATACTATCAATGATGTTGTCATATCACAGTTATGAAAAACATGGACCGTAGTTCACCATGGAAGTGACAACATACTTGGCCTCTTCTCCACATACCACCCCACCCTCTATTCTCTCCAACCAGGGTGGATTTCCCAACAGTTTAATCTTCAACGATCCCCATAAACCAAATCAAGCTATAAAAGTAGGGAGGGGAGTTAGGAGATCATCTGCCCATGCTGAAAGTCTACGTGGCTCCTCCCCCGCTGTGATAAGGCAGGCCACTGTTGAATAGGCTATCACCAAAAAGCTATTTGACAGAGGACAAGCTTTTTTTAATCGTATTCTGTATGATAACAAGCTCTGTTTAAGATAACACTAACTGTACAAGGTGCTTAAGTAGTCACTGTTAAAGTTTGGATGACTATATAATCATATCCATAGGGTTTCTTGTTACTTATGGTTCATCACCATTCAAAATTAAGATGGTCCTTATATTGACAGGACTGTTGGGTTGTCACATTTGACAAGTGTGTGTCGACACAAGTGGAGAGTTCAAACACTCCCCTACACCTTGGCTCCGGAAATGTGTTACTGTTTGATGATTGGTTGAATGATTAGCCCAACAAGTCAGTGATTTGAGCCTTCTTTTGTCTCAAGAGGACACCAAGGCCATCTCTTTTAAACCGTTAATGGTTTGATGGTTTTCATGATCATAGAGGATTTAGAAATCCTTAAAGGAACAGTTAACAGACATTTTAGGAAATACGTTTATGTTCTGTTTTGCCAAGGGTTAGCCTAGATGTGATGATACCATTGCACTAGCTGTCCGGTACAGCTACAACCTGCAGCCAATTAGCTTAGCTTAGCATTAAGACTGGAAACGGGTTTAACCGCTAGCCTGCTGTCACTTTCCAAAGGTAGCAAAATCTGCCTAGTAGCACCTCTAAAGCTAGCCAATTAACAGGTATATTTTGTCTGTTTAATTAAAACCAAAGTGTAAAAAGAATGTGTATATCTGGCGGTAGTCTAATATTTATCATACAGATATGACAGTGGTATCAATCTTCTCATCAAACTAGTGCCAAAAAAGTGTATGACCAAAAATATGTAACTATTCATTTAATGCTTATGTGAGGTAATTTAAAGGTCCAGTGTGTAGGATTTAGTGGAGTCTGGAGGTGTAGTTGCACATCCCAACTCTGTTGCTTCACCACCCCCTTCCAAGCATGAAGGAGAAACTATGGTGGCTGCAAAACATACATTAATGCCCCAATCTAGAGCCAGTGTTTGGTTTGTCACTTCTGGGCTACTGCATGGAATGTAACCTGCAGTGTGTGTAGATAAAAATGTCTCACTCTAAGGTAACGATTCCTATATTCAGCTGATTATACACTAATGAAAACATACCTATGAATATTACATTATAGTTAGATCCCAGTGCCAATAGATTACACACTGGACCTTTAGGATGAATAAGTTTATAATCAGTACAAAGAAAGGATAAAATAAGCGCAGATGCCTTGAACTTTGGACCAGCTGCTGGCTTTACCTGTATATTCACCGGTCGTATGTGGGAGTGGTATCACGCTTGTCACATTTTCGCAAAATATAAAACAGTTGCTTTTTAATAATCATAAAATCAGTTAAATCTCTGTCTCCTCAAGTCTGTACCAGAAGAATATGCTAGAAAATATGAAGACAGTTTCTTTAAAGTGCAAGGAAATGCAATTTCCACACAGTGTACCCACACTGAATGAGGTTTTCTATTCATTGATGCCAAATGTGGTAGCTGAAAGACTATTGAATGAGATCTAAATGTGAGAAGACTTTGGATTCAGCTCATTATATTGTTTTCATCATGTGGGTGCTGTGACGCCTGTTTAGACTGCAACTTTGATTAAGACCTATACAAATAAACCCACCAAAACCTAAAATAACACATTTAAAAACTACTGAACATTTTCCCTCATAAACACTAATAATAAACTTCTTCTCCCACAGTGGCCCAGTAATTGGTTTTATGCTGCATGTTGGTATGTCAGCCAGGAGAGGGGGCTGCTCTATAAATAGAAACTGTTAAAAAAAAATTGCTTCAACCACTCAATCTCCATCTCTTTTTCTGCTTTCATCTGACTTTCAAATTCACAGATGACAAGAGATTTTATTCTTGGAAATATCTCTGCGAGTGCCAATCAGTTTCTTGTCAGCGTGTGCTGATGAAAAAAGTCAGACCTGCTTTTATTTTTGTTGCCCTACATAGGGCATACATATTTTTTTGTAAATTACGGTAACTCCAATTCCTGGCAAAAAAAAACAAACAACCAAAGCCAGGCATTAATAATTCACAGAGAAATTTCTCCCTGGTCTTCTACTGGTGATCAAATTTAACCTGCGAGTAAAACACGTGAACATGCATTAAATATGAACGCTGCTGCTCAGATACTCCAAAACCCACGCCGAAAAGTGACACAAATACCATCCCATGTTCCGGGACGTGGGATGGTGGTGGTGATGTGTCTGTCCGACCCCGAGAAGCAAAGAGATCACAGCAAATGAAGAAAGCGAGGTGACCAGTTTAGGAGAGATGAGGCAGATAAGAGAGGAGGTGATGTGTGTTAGAGGGGAGTTTGGTTGCAGCGCTGGGAAGAGAGGGATGGAGCTCCACCCCCTGGTATAGACTGACACCTGTTTTCCACTTTGTGTCAGTGAGTGCTAGCTCTGCTCTCCATCTGTGTCCAAATCAGAGCTCACGGCTCTATACCTGCCACCTGGACCCGTACTCAGACTCACCTGCAGGATACGAACAAGGGAGGAGAGAGCCTTGACAGAGACTAGAAAACACCAAAACAGCTTCTTAAGGTGTGAGGGATCACTGTCAGCGGAGAGAGGATAATCTCAGAGAAGATATCTGGGTATTTTTCATCTCTTTTTTTGGAGGATGTAGACCTCCAAGGATAAGCAAAGGACTAAAGTTAAAAAAACAACAACTTAAGAATCAAGGTGACAGCCAGAACCAGGCATCATGTCCACTAACAGTCAAGACAGGGACCCTGATATCGAGCTTTTTGTCAAGGTAAGACAGAGACAGAACTGTGGTTACAGCATTTTCTAGTTAGTTAAATTAAGTTTTGATGGTAGGTAGAGACAGTATATGAGCAGGATTTTCAGTGTAGCACCACTGTGTGTGCTCATGTAACTCAATAGTAGAGGTAGAGTTACAGCGGCACTGGCACACTGCTCTCTATGTTGACCCGGGATTGTTGTGACAATGATACTGAAGCTGCTTCTGGTGGTGGGAAGCTTGCGCCGGGGTACCACTGAGGAACCATTGCCCCATCTGAAACATTAAAAAGCAGTCAGACGGTTAAAAGGAAGATGCCAATTTTAGATTTGATTTAACAACGCACAGTGGGCTAATTCTCTTCACTTACACTGCATTAAATCAGCTACTCTAATCTTTTACATGCATTATGGCATTATTTCTGTGCACCAATCAATAGATGCTCCAGATTATTACCTAATAATAGAGCAAGTGCCTCCTTCAGTAGATACAGCAGTGTTGTTTTCTTTCACATAACTAGATGCTCATGAGGCCCTGTGGGAAATGTTAGAGGCAGGTGAATATACCTGAGGCAGGTGAGGTGGAGGCACGTGGAAAAGCTCATCTGGTGCTGCCTGGATGCACTGACCCAATTAGCTGGTGTAAGGGCTGTTTTCAGCCAATCCACCTCCTAGGAAACCGGTCAGCTAGGTAACCAAAAGTTCACTGACACACTGTCGGCTTGCATAACCTCTTTAAGCCTGGTCATTCACGATGTTCCTCTGTTGTTTCTCTACATAAAAGTCTTATAACACATTGTAGCTAGATTATTTGTGTTTTTTCTTACATTTTGTTAGCAATTCTAAGCTGTCACTCCTTCAATAAATGTTCTTATGTTAGGTGTGTTAAGTGCAGAGCCAGTTTGGTGCACAAACCTTGTATATAGGGTGGTTATCGTCACACTTGCAGCCCTGATATTAGTTTTTCCTCATGCTGCCATCTGAGATGTGACCTAGATGGACAGAGAACTATCCTAAATGACTGCACTTCCTTTAATGCCCTCAGCCCGGCACAAGATTTAGACTTTCACTGTACAATGTGTTCAACATATCACAACACAATATATTTGGGGTGTGGTAGCATTTGGTGGACTGAATCTCAGCTTTTTTTATTATAAGGAATAAAAGAATTAATACAATGTAGGAGCATGATCACAGGCTATATCCCAATGATCAGTTTGAGGATTTGGACATAAACAATTCATGAGTGGCAAGTCTTCACAGGTTCATTAAAGGGGCTCTCCAGCGATTTTACATATCAAGATCAAATAAAAAATAGCACACAGCCTCATATATAAAGTCTTCTGTGGCACTAGAGGTCATCACGGTATTTTCAGCTCGTCTGTGAGACTATGAATGTGATGTGGAGTTTGAAACATGCAGGTGTTTACTAGGCAGTAGGAATAAATGCAATTGGTTCCAACCTTAAGGAAGTGCAATGAAGTACAATATATTCAATTTAATGAAAAAAGCATTTAAATAGCTTTCATACTGGTATTTGAAACAGCAATATATAATTCACTTTTTACTCTGAGCCTGGATGTCTGATCTCTCTATGGGAACATAGAAGGATGTATTTGTACAGGTGGGTTAAAAGAGTTAATGATAAAATAGTGCAACACAGGTAACATAAATACATGAGGAACTGTCTTTTTGATGCTGCCTTCCTAATGATACGTCAGTTGAATTAACGAAAACTAAAACCCAGCTGTATACTGTCCATGTATTTATGTATGTGATGGGTCATATGAAGTAACATTGCCTCCAGTGGACCCCACTCATCGCTCAGCGGCTCCATGCACTCACGTTCCTTGCGCCCACATGCCCAGTTGTGTGTGACAGCTTTTGTCCTCCATGTTCTAGATGTTGATTGGCTATTATCAGCGGTTGTGTATTGTGTTACCGCCGTGCCGCTGAACCTGGCCATAACAATGCACAGACAGAAGCATCACATGCACTCAGGCAGCATGACAGCACCGAGCATCAATGGCTGGCGTATATACAGTTTGCTCAGCTACTTTTAGACCGACAGCTCTGCTTTCTGGTCTTTGCTAGGAGCAGCAGTGTTCTGTTGGGAACGTGTACTGAATGGCAAAATGTTTTCCACTTCAGTGTAGTATCTTTTAATTTATGAAGTGATTGCTGGTGCTGCTCCAAGTAAAGTATTTAATGATATGTGTCATATTTGCGGCCTCAAGGATAGCAATAACAAAATTGCACATAAATAAATTCATCCACTGGTTTCTTGAATTGTGTAAGGATTCATTTCCAAATCATTCATGTAAACTGTCGAATCTCTGCTCAACCAGCTGACCTTGAGGTCAGTGCACTTATCTTGCTGTGTGTTGTGGACCTCTATGTCTGCAGGCCCACAGCTCTGACCCTGCATCCTGTGCCCTGTCGGCCAGTGAACCAGGTGATGGAATCACTATGTATAATTCAGATGGGCCGGTGGCTCAGGTGTCACTACTGATGCTCTGCTGTGTATCCATACATGCCGACACATGATCTCCCAGCATGTATGAGATGGGGAGGAAGTGATTATATGAGTCTCTGTAGGGAGAAACACTTGAACCATGGATGAACTCAATTCAAAACCATTTGGATAAATGCAAAGCAGGCAAAAAAAAGACTTTTTTCTTTTTTGTATTGGGAAAAATGCTTTAACCTGTCAGCAAGAGTGTACTGCTTTTGTTACATGCCCCCAGTGTGTACTTTTGGTTTGTCCTTATCATAAATTTGTATCAGGGAATTAAGGGTGACGTATTTATGAGAGTTTGTATGGTGTTTACATTTATATGACCCATGATGCTTCTCTGAACAACCTTACTGGTCAAATAAAAGTCAAGATAACTAAATCCAATATGTATTTAATTGTTAGCAGCAAGGTTGCCGGTTCTCAGAAAGACAACCTTGTGACCAAAGATTTTCCCAGCAGCAGAAAACTGGTGTATCAAGTAGGGGGAGTGTCCCTCCTCATGTTGGCTTGGGTTCAACCTCCTTGTGATCTGAAACAAGACATTTAATCCCTTCTAGCTACTGGGGTGCAGATCCAGAGCACAGTTTGTGCTCTGACCTCTCTTTTGAGGATGGCAAGCATCTAAGAGATTCGTTCGACACAGTATTGCAAGATCAGAACACAAAAAAGGACACAAACATCTGCCAGCATATTTATGTGAAAAAGTATTAAGAAAATATTAACGCCTGTCTGTTATAGTGCAGTCTTGCATCTCTGCATTACATGCCATTGTAGATTTGTGAAGCATCTGGTGCTCAGTTTTGATTTAGATGATGTTTAGGGCTGTTTTCATTACCGATTCATTTGAGGTTTATTTTTCTCGATTAATCATTTAATCAGTTAACCATCAGAAAACAGTGGAAATGTGTCGATCAGTATTATCACAGTGTCTTGTCTGTTGATCCACTAACCACCTGAATAACCTAGCAGCTCTAATGATGTCAGAAATGTGTTGACTTGGTGGTGCTGGTGCTGTTGTCCAACCTCTGTATATCTATGTATGTTTTCCTGTGTATACTCTATTTCCACTACATGTCACATTTCATTGCTCTGACTCGTTTTCTGTCGTGTTGTTTGCGTGCAGGCAGGCAACGATGGCGAAAGCATCGGCAACTGTCCCTTCTCTCAGCGTCTCTTCATGATTCTCTGGCTTAAAGGGGTCGTGTTCAACGTCACCACCGTCGACCTCAAAAGGTTAGGACACAGGAATGCGAGATCCCAGTACAAAAAACACACTTATGCACTCATTGGGTTCCTCATGATGTACTGCTTTGTCTGTGACCTCTGTAGAAAGCCAGCAGATCTGCACAACCTGGCTCCGGGCACACACCCTCCTTTCCTGACCTTCAACGGAGAGGTCAAGACCGATATCAACAAAATCGAGGAGTTCCTGGAGGAAACGCTTTGTCCTCCCAAGTAATTCAACTGGAAGGTTTTACTACACGTAGTTTACAGTATCAGTTTATATCACTGACTACACACACTGTTTTTGGCTGGATTTATTTCACTCCAGCATCACTGTTGAAAGGGCAGGAAGTGTTTCAGTCCAATAAAAAGTGAATTTGTGCTTTGTATTTGAAGACGTTAACTGATATAACTGTTTGTTGTTTATGGCTGTTGTAAATCTTTTGACAATGAGTATATACATGTGTCTAAGGCACTTTGGCACATTTAACATTTGAAAACAAAAACCTCAACTGTATGTGCTTTATTGACTGCAGCCACAGTTTTGTGTAACTTTAGAAAAATTAAGACATTTTTATCTTTTGTTTAAAAAATCAGAGCCAGTGTGTGAGCGGTTGCAGAGAAAAACGTCAGATTAACTAAATCTTTTTTTTATTGCCTGCAAAGTTTTTTACATTATAAATGGACCTTAGTGTGAGAGAGCTTAAGAGGCGGGCGGCCAACTCGGTGTGAGTGTGTAACATGTTTTCAGTCGGAGTTGAGCTCCAGTCCAGGTGTTAATGCTATCCAGATGGTTTGGTCTGACTGCGTCTCCTGCCTCTGTCCCCCGTCTGCTCAGGTATCCCAAACTGGCCGCCAAGCAGAGAGAGTCGAACACAGCTGGAAATGACATCTTCGCCAAGTTCTCAGCCTACATCAAGAACACCAAACCAGAGGCCAACGCCGGTGGGCTGCTCATTTTGTGCCTTTTGCACTCACAGACACACACACACACACACACACACAAACTCAACACTCAAACACAGCAGAACAAGATGAAAAAAAGTATTTGACAGTCATTCTTATATTCCTCCACTAGGTAGTAGCATAGTCCAGTATTTGAGGCTGGCTTTGACTCATATATTTAGCTGTGCTGCCACCTAGTGAGGTTATCACTACATAGGTTATGTCACTTTTACCTTTTAGCAGTATTACATCCACACTTACTGTATGTGTGATTGTGTGTTTAGTTCTAGAGAAAGGTTTGACCAGGGCCCTGAAGAAGCTGGACGACTACCTGAACAGCCCCTTGACAGACGAGATCGATGCAGACAGCATGGAGGAAGAGAAGGGCTCCAACCGATGCTTCCTCGATGGAAACGAACTCACTCTGGCAGACTGCAACCTGCTGCCTAAACTGCATATAGTCAAGGTAAATAGGGACCTGGGGAAATATTCACTAATGTTAATTGGTGCATTTAAAACCACTGAGAAGAAGTGAGTATTTGATTTATATGATCTTAGACAGCCGCCTGCAGATAGTTTAGAGAGTATTTGTAACATTTCACCAGCTTATTAGTTGAGATTCAACAACCGTTTTCAGATATTACACCAATAAAGCGACGCCTGCGTGCTAGTTGGGGCTGCACTGCTATGCACACACAACATGCCAAACACACCCTTCCAAGTTGGCGGTCCATTTAAGCTGCAAAATTTCCCAGCTCTCCCTCTGCTCTGTCAATGCCACTGCTGCCCTGCATCAGTACTGCTGCCTGCCTGTTCTGTAAGCCCCACCACCACAGCACCCACATGTAGGCTCTGGTTATCGGGTTTAAGGTATGCGCTCATCACTCTCTAATATCAGAAATGTAAACATATACATATATACTACAAATCCCCTGACTAGCAGGTATATAACCACATAACTGTTAAACTAAAGACACATCAGCCGTAGCCTTACTTTGTGTTTAGTGTTGTCGCTAATATTATCATGCTAATGCACTAAACTAAAATGGTGAACATGGTAAACATTAAACCTTCTAAACAGCATGTTGGCAGTGTCATGTGTGCATGGTAGTATGCTGATGTTAGCCTCACAGAGCAGCTATTGTGGTGTAAGACACATTTTCTGTTGTTTTAAATTATTTTTTCAAATTTAAGTTAATTTCTATCAGGCATAGCACCTTTCTCTTTCTCTTCTTATATATATATTTTTCCTGGAAAAAGTCACCATGCTATTGCTAGTCACTCACTTGAATATATGCAGCATAGAGGACACCCAGGTGTGTTGTTGAAAATAATTTACTCTTACATTTATTAACTGGAAAAACACTAAAGGAGGCAGGTTGAGAGAAAGGTGGGTAGAAAAATGTAAATTGCAACAGCTCATCTCAAACGACCTCCTGGAATGCACTGAACATAACAAAGTGATGGCACCTTTAAGAGACTGCCCAAGGGTGGATTTTAAATGTCTGACAAGATAAATCAAGTTTCACCTTCTGTCCTAGGTTGTTGCTAAGAAGTACCGCAACTACGACATCCCCTCAGACATGACGGGCGTGTGGCGGTACCTGAAGAACGCCTACACACGTGATGAATTCACCAACACCTGCGCTGCTGACTCTGAGATCGAGACCGCCTACAAAGATGTGGCGAGGAGACTGGCCAAGTAACTCGCCAACTGACCTGACCTCTAACAAAATAAACTAGTAACACAACACAAAAAACCCCACATCACTTTTAAACATACATGTGACTGTCCTTTTGTCATAGTAAACAGGTCAGATGTTGCAGATGTCTGTGTGTTAGGTTGGCTTATACCGCTTTACAGCTCCTGATGTGATGGATTTCAGAGATTCAGTACATTATGTATACGGTGTTGCAATTAGGCCTCCAGAAACAGACATGGCAAAAGAGAAGTGGAGCAGACAATAAATCAAGCACATTTAACGTGATTCACAGGTTTCAAACCAGATTCAAATTTTGCTGCTGTGAAACTTCTGACAAAACACTCAAACATGATTGTGTCTGTCTCTATTTATTTCTCATAACACAAAGCTCTCTTTCATACATACTCCACCGGTCCACATGGCCAAACATTTTACTAGCTGCTGATGTAAGGGTCGTTCACTTTATTTATTTCTAAGCCCACAGAAGTCTAGTCTGACTCCAGTGTTTATCATCAAGCTTTGGCTCCTGGGGAGACACCTTGATTCATCTATGATTGATGATTGACGCTAATCATTTGCCGAATATGACTGTCGTGATCTGCAGGTTAATTTTGATTGTCACTGATTACTGTAGGTGATGCTGTAGCTGTTTTGTTTCCCTGAGCTTATACACATCTTGAAATTCACTCCTGCTTCTGAAAGATTGATTTAAAGAAAGATTGATTTAAAATTTAAAGTTTATATGCTCAATGATGTTAGTTGGAAAAAACAAGATTTAGCTGACAGGGGCATTAGAACAAAGCTTGTTTCTGAATTGCATGCATGAATCTGTTTTAAATTGTAACCTTTAAAACCTGATATAGAGCCACTTTTTAAGATATAAAAATTCCTCATGTGCCTTTATTTGGGAGTATCAAAAATCCATGCCAATGTCAGTGATGGACTCATTCTGAAAAATGTACTGCAGCCAGAGCTGAGACATTTGTTCTGCCTCGAGCTATTAGTGTTCAGTGTAGGTATTGATTTTGTCTTAAGTTACACATGATATTATGAATGGAGAGAGTATTTATTTAGCAGCCCCAATCAGGCCTGATTAGGTAGAGCCATTAGTGCTGCGATGAAAAGCGTCTTCCAGGCCAGGTCCACAATGGTCAGGAGCCCTGCCCTCCAGCCCTTCATCAAAGAGACATTTCCTCCGCTCTGAGGAGTCCATCAACATCCGCAGCCTAAAGTTCAAGTTCAAAAGTTCCATTGTCCACGCAAAGGAGGATGGAAATTTGTCTTGGGGCTTATCGTCTTTGGCTTGCTGTCAGGCTGCAACTATAGCGAGACTTCCTTGAAGAACCATAAGGCTCTTGTGTGGTTTGGACAAACATATGATATGAAATTGGAGCATGATGACTGAGAGCCATGCTCATTGCGAAGCTCTACAAATAAAATAATATTTTCACAGATCTGCTTCTGCCTTTTCTTTTCTTTTCCAGCTAGGTGATCAATCAACAATGATACTTTCGAGGTTGTCGTGAAGGGGAGGGGTGAGCGGTGTGTCTCGGTGATAGCAAAGGTGCCGGTGGAGCCTGGATCCTGGTCCTGAAAAGGGTTAAGTGTGCCTGACTGAGTTGATCAAATCCAGTGGTGCAGGTCTGTTTCTCCATCTATAACAGAGAGAGAGAGAGAGAAAGAAGGAGAGGGAGAGAGAGTGATGACCGTTGACAGGCTTAAATAGAGGCTTCCATGCCAGGGATCAAACGCCATCCCTCTTCTCCACTCTCTCATTAAGACGGAAAACCCGAGCGCCGCCATCCGATCTGTCTCCATTTTTCCTCAAAGGAGTCTAACTTGAAAGATCTGCGCCTGTCGGATTTACAATGGTGGGCGAGTGGTGTTTACTGAGACGCGGCTGTGCCAGAAACAACAGTCAAAGAAAATAAATGGAGCCTGCCTAGTGTTTCCACAGGAGTAAGGAAATATGGAGCGAGACTTGTGCCTTGCTGTTTGGTAATTAGTACCTAAACATCCCTGTCCTTGGATCCCATCGCTCACATCCAACATTTCTGCAAGCTGGATAATATACAGTGGAGCATTAACGTCAAACACGTCTGGTCATGGGGCCTGGCACGCCACATTAATCTGTTATTACACTCCCAGTGGATCTACCAGTCACTGGCCTTGGCTTGGCCACCATAGCACAGGGAGTCCATATAGGCTGACAGGGACTCACACACAGCATACTTTTATAGCCAGGGTTAGTAAACCTTTTCAGCTCAGGCATAAATTGTCTAAATTGAGTCTTGCTTTGAGACCTGAGCTGATTAAAACAAACTGGTGCCTTTGACGTGTGAGGACCTACCAGAAACAGACCTGTGATCCAATTAAGGGCCAGACCTATAGTTTAAGAAATACTGCCATGTAGACCTCAGTGCTCTTTAGCTGCTGCTTACCATAGATATTGTACCCAGGAGACATACACATATGTTTCAGCCCGAGGTGAAGTTTGGTTTTACCTCATGCTGTCCTGCTACTTTAGTAGAAAGTCTGTATTATCCATGTCCTTTAACTGCAATAGGACCAGATCATTTGTTTTGTAAAGTCATACGCCTGATTTTCATTATCCAAACAAAGATGGTGGCTAAAAATTAAAATGTTTTTTTAGGATTCTGAAAGTTTTGTTAAATAAGCTTGTAGACTTATTGGCTTTGGGACTTGAATGTAATGTTAATACACACAAGAGGCGCAAATAATCTGAGCAGAAGTTCAACTGCTTTTTTTTTTTCATGCCTCTGAGATACACCTTCCAATCACTTATTGCTGTCATTCTTGATGTGGGGTCATGACTGACATGTGACATGTGACAACATCAACCCAGGTCATACAGGCCTGAAAAGGAAGTGTCTAATCAGAGCACGGCTGACATCCACAGGAACCATGTCATAACAGGAGATCATGTTTAAAAGAGAGACGGGATGCCGAAGACGAGTCCTCATCTCTTCCACTCTGAGACAGAGAGCATCTAAGAGAGTATCAAATTCTCAGCAGGTCCCCCAACCCTCCTCCGCTCGCCTGCCCTTGGAGGTTTGAGTGACTTGTGGTGAAGCTTGATGGGGATTATTGATCTGCCTGGCGCGCGCCTGCGGTTTCGGCGTAAGACTGACGACCTCACCAGAGAGAGTTCTTGGCACACGCCGGCCCCTGTCTTAAGCTGTGTGGAGGCTGGGACAGGCCTGTCGTGGCCTGAAGTGTAGACTGTTTGAGTTCAGAGCCAGGTGATCAAGACATTTTTCTGTGTATTTAAATAATCAGGCCCAAATTTAGGCAGAAGATAACAATAAACATATCTGATTGGCTTTTTGGAGAGGAGCAGTTGAAATGAGTAACTATGTCTGCAGACAGCAGAGCCCTGGGGTGTTTATGCTCTTGGTTAGATTTACTGGTTAGGGTTTCTGTTCCAGTTGTGGACCACATGAAATAATCCATGGTCACTGGAGAAGGATGTGGACACTGTGCTAATTATGTGAGATGATGATGTCAGGTATTGATACCTACAAGTGAGCCAGAACTTTTTCCTCTATGCTGTGTTCCAATGTATATAACCGCGCTGTGGTGACCACACTCGCTATACGACCACACTCACATCCACATGTCGGACATGTCTGGATCCTCAGCAGCCCTCACACATCCGCACTGTCAGCCGGGTGCTCACTTTATCATTCATAGTTGTAAATCATCAGTTCGCCTGCAGGAAACGCGCAGCATTTTATTTTCCAGTCATAAACCATAAAACCTGCCTCTAACACAAGTTATGATCCTTGGAGACTGAGAGGATGAATGTCTAAAGCAGAACCAGACACGATGGCGGGCATCCTTCATCCCCCTTTTCGCCTGGCATCCCCAGATGGCTATGGTCGTGTGGTGGATTTTCCAAAAAGCCCCAACATGATCCAAATGTCACCAGGGTTGTATGTCATTCAGCAGTGAACTGGGTCTCAGTGACTGCTCTGAATTACCAGTCCATTAGTTCTCAATTAACACTCGCCTGATAAAGTTTTAACAGCCCTTCATCTGACAGGAAGAACACATAGCGCTCCTTCATGCTTGGTTTCAGGCAAAGATGGGGCCCCTGCCCAAATTTTTGAAATTTTTATTGCCTGGCTGAAACCTATGGAAAAAGGCCTGTTTTGCATGAATATTTGGCACCATGCGGAGGTTTATCCTGTCTTATGTTCTGTACACTCAGTCGTGCTGCAACAGTTTGCCATTTTTTGACAGTTGAGATGGTGTATAATTTGAAACATTGACATGAAGCGGAGGCCTTGGACAAAGAGGCCTTTTGTTTGTGTGTTTGGTCGCTGTCCATGGTCCTGACACTCGCATTTTCACAGTAATTCCCTTTTTTTTTCAGACGGTGTGGCCAGTATCATATTGCATAATCTGAACTGGCAGAACTCATTAAATGTAGGCATTTTAGGTTTCATAAGTGCACTTTTCTCTGAGTTGCGTTTCACTTTGCAGCAAATGGTTTCATGGAATCAAATGTTTCCAAAGCAGGCTAAAGACATAGGCATGCTTTAATCTAGTGATGAATGGATTCTGGTGCTGGATGTCGGCTGCCTTACAACCTACCATGTCTGTGAGGTTCTGGGCTGCTGCCTGGATGCAGCTCGCCTGCCAATTGATCATTTCTTTTATTACAGGTTAAAAGACAAGTCGCCATTTACAACCCCCTCTCTGTGAGGGTGAAGAACTTTTCATATCTGACTTTGGTGTTGGAATTTTAGCAGGAGTACCACTAACATAATAAGCCCTAGTTTGGCCACATCCAGCTTGCCTTTGGCTGTATGGTATACCATTTGGGTGGGCCCCTCACCCCGTTCCCTATGGTTAAATAAAAAAGCCACTAGAGTGCGCCAAAGTACACAGTTATTGTTGACTCAGTTTGAAATTCTCCTGGCCCAGGAGGGGGGTTGCTCAATTACAATCAGATCAAATTAAGATCAATCTTGTGTGACTGATGGTGGGCATGGGCTGAGCTCAAAGATGGTCTTCCTCTGAGACATTAAGGTGGCCAGTCTCTATATTTGTTAAGGTCAGATTACATCAGATTAGAAAGGTTCAGGGAGGTCAGCGCTTCGTGCCGATTCGACATTCAATGCGCACTCTGGAGTCCCCGGCCCTGAGTTTATCTCTGGAATAAATGAGAAATCAAGATGCATGGATTCCTGTTTGAGGGCAGAAAACACTCGCACGCACACACACACACACACACACACACACACACAACGCTCAGCCCTGTTAGTAGAGTAGTAGAGATGGAAACGGATAGGCAGAGATATACGCTCAGTGAGTGGTATGGGACCCTTGAGGATGACTTCCCGCCTGAGCTGCTCCTCTGAAACGTTTGCAGAGGTCAAGTAAACAATTACATTGGGCTGTCAGCAGTGTGTTTGTGTTTGTGTGTGTGCACACTCATCTGAATGGAGTGGTTTTGTCTCCTCATAAACTTCTGTTTGTATTCCTCTCTGTTGACTGCATAACATAAGGAAGAGAGTTCAGTCTTCTTTGTGCTGCTGCGAGACTACTCACAACCTGGTATAAAAATCAAGCGTACATCATCGCTGGCATCATGTTCAACCACCAAATTTAACAGGGACTAAAACTCTATACCAACCCCTCTTAAATGAGTCTGCTGCTGTCTCTCCCGTGCATGGAGGACATTATGCTAATTTCTCTGGGTGTCTGGGTCCCATTGCTCCTCCGGAGTTCATTATTATAATTGCTAGACATGGCTGAGAATGCTGCGAATGTGAACCTGAAACCAGCAGGAGTTTTTTCCGTGCAATCTATATTCAGGGAAATCCCGAGAATGTTCCCAATCTGAACCTTAAAAAAACACATGGGATGGTGTAGCTCACCCTCTCTTCTCTCTCTCTATTTCAGCATGTGTACGTGTGTGTGCGCACACTTAGATTGGCTCTATTATGTCTTGGAATAATGTAAAACAGCTTCCCTGGTTCTCCCTGTCTCTGTCTCTCTGGTTTCCCAGTGTACCTTTGAAATGAAGCCATGGCAGTGGCAGTGGCAGTAGTAGTCTGGCTGAGTGTGCCGGGGCCCCAGCATGCCTTAGTCCCCTGTCCAAAGACAATGTTGGTGCAGACAGAGCGGCAGACCAGAGATGATACTGCTAACTGTGCTTCCTACGCGCAACACGCTTGTAGATCTGCATGTTAACTTTTTCAGAAAAGATTAAACAGATGATGACAACGCTGAATGTTCCTGGAGAATTAAGTGTGAGTCTAATCCAGATACCCAGAAAATATGGTGGATACATACATGAAGCTTTTTAAATTAAAGATCCTCTCCTAAAAAGTTCAATTAGCAGGTTAAAAATCTTAAAAGCACACTTTTCCTTATCCCTGGACAAATTGTGTCTCCTACTTCACCTTACTTCC